AGGGTTTAGGGTTTAGGGCACTCCACATGTTGATGCTGCTGCTGATGACGATGAAGACGATGATGATTGGATTTGGAACCCTTGGGACCCGTCTCCCCGGCCCAGAGGAGCGATCTCCCGAGCGCTGCCGCAGATGCCCGGCCGACCTGTCAGAACGCTTTAGGGTTTTAGGCCTCAGGGTTCTAGGGTTTAGGGTTTTGGGGTCTAGGGTCTAGGGTTTAGGGTCTTGGGTCTTGGGTTTAGGGTCTTGGGTCCAGGGCCTACAGTAGGGTTTAGAATTTAAGGTTTAGGGCCTAGGGTTTAGGGTTTAGGGTCTAGGGTTCAGGGTTTTTGGTTTAGTGTCTAGGGTTCAGGGTTTAGGATTTAGGGTTTATAGGGTTTCAGGTTTAAGGTTTATAGGGTTTAGGGTTCAGAAATCAGAAGCCTGAATCAGGTTTGTGGGGCCTTTGCAGGAGCCGTCATGGATAGAATTGGGTTCTATAGGGTGTTTATCGGGTTTGTGAATGGTAAGCCTCACAATTGCACAGGTTTGAGGCTACTTAAGGGGTTTATGATATTTTGCACAGCTGTACACAGCCCGAACGTTCGTGGCCCGACGCGCGGCATCCTTGGAAGCCAAACTCCCAGAAGACCTGTAGCCCCCAAAGACCTACCTTGCTGAGGGGACTGCAAAAGCATGTCTCTGTGTGTGGCATACTAGCCAATATAGATGCTACAAAGTACGATTGCTAACGACTCGGGCCCGCAGGGAATCTGGAGCCCCACTTCAAGTTGCTGTCATACGGCAAAGCACACTACGAAGTGTATCCCTACAGTTGCAACGCAAAATTCTTACTTGCACACCTTGCATAGCGGTGCTGTTGTTCGCCCCAGAGTCTCGACAGAAGCCCCGCATGGGTCTTATGGCCGTTTCGGACCTAGACATTCGTAGACAACAGGTGTCTGGGATGATGGGATCGGACCTGCTTCCAAGATGAGTAGGGGGCGGAGTTCATCAGGCTTGTATTGCGGACTCCGGGCCTTCTAACACCTTTCAGCCTGGGACGCGCAAACCTGTCACCTAGGGTTTAGGGTTTAGGGTTTAGGGTTCTGGGGCTTAAGGCTTGATTTCACATCCGAAAGCCTTATTCTCATTCTCTAGGCTTTCATGCTAAGCGTCAACTTTTCAAGTCTATGTTGCGCTAAGGCCTGCTTGAATGCCCCCTTCGAGACGGACTGGCGAGAAGGGAGAGAGTTCCGCCCCAAACCCCACCTCGAAGCTGCAGCCGGCAGACTGATTCTAGGGGCTCTTTTTTGTATCACCTCTTGTCCTTCGCCTGAGATTCTAGGGGCTCTGGGGTTTAGGGTTTAGGGTTTAGGGCTTCGGGTTTTGGGTCTGGGGCTCTGAAACCTAGGGCCCCCCAAAATGGCAGGAAGCACTCCGGTTGCACCTCATCGGTTCCTGGAACTCCCGATGCCCATGAGTGGAACCAGCTGGGCTCTCCAAAGGAACCAAAGTTGCTCTGGAATAAGTTTCTTTCAAAAGCATATAGCATGATCCGTAAAAACCAAAAGGGCAGGTACGGAAAGGGGTCGTGGTGACCATGCTCTTGCGGATGGTAACCATGCCTATAATGACACCTGCAAGATGCTGGATGCTCAAGAGATCAAGTGTTGGGGGTCCTGGATCAGTGCTTCGGATCCTGGGGCTGCACTTGAGGCCGGCCAGTCAAACGGCTGCGGCGCGAGCAACATGGCATAAAGAGCGCAGGCATACCGCACATCATCGCTGTGGTGGCCATGATGAAGGGCGTTCATCTACGAAGCTTGGGTTGATGGCTTGAGCAAGGTGTCCTCCACAACACCCAAGACAGAGGCACTTGAGACGATCATATGACTGCCTAGATTGCAACAAGCCAACTTAAGAGAGCTCCATGGGGTGATGTCCGAAGATCTCTTGCCTTCCCTTCTTCTGCTTCTTCCATGACAGCAACCAGCGTGACCGATGCTAGAAATCACCCTTGCTGCGAGTTCACAAAAAGCTTAGGAATTGAACTGTCCGGACGGAGTTGTGGGTGGTTGTCGAAATTATGGTCCCTTCTTGGTCCTTATTATAATACGGCACCTATTATTTAGGGTACCCCAAAAGGGACCATAATTTTGACAACTACCCATATACTGGATAATCGGCATACAGTCCCTAAACCCTAAACCCTAAACCCTAAACAGTCCGTTCCGCCCCGCGGCGTCGCAAAAGAGCTGAGCCCGACTCTTCTTTTCGAAGCTCGCGGGGATGTTGCTCCGCGCCGCCATGTGCCGCAAGATCAAGAGCTGGCGCCTCACGACTACGGTTTAGGGTTTAGGGTTTAGGGTTTAGGGTTTAGGGTTTAGGGTTTAGGGTTTAGTATTTTGGCAGTTCGGGTTATCAAAAAAGCCTAAGGGCCCAACGCCCAAATCAGGGAAAGGATGCCTGTGAAGGCTCTACGATGGCTATAATATCGGGGCCTTAATTATGCATTACCTATACTATTTTGGGGGTTCCTCATTATGGTTATAGTTTAATATAGTTGAGAACCATGAAGAACTGTCTAGCCATTGGCCGAGAACCACACGGCGGAGAGTGTCCTGCAACTTGAGAAACCAGACCGCGCTGCACCTCAGGGGTTTGGGGTTTAGGGTTTAGGGTTTAGGCTTAATCATCGCACCAAACATTCTCACACTAGCAGTCTAGACTCAAAGCAATCTCAGACATCTCAGATGTTCCCTTCTTTTTTTCGGATCCTGGCATCACACAGACGCACAGATGCATCAAGTTACCCGGGGGCGACTCTGTCCTGTCTTCGCCTCCGCAGGTATCCTGAGATAGGAACACTAAACTTTTGGTTCAGTCAATGGAGACTGGGCCGAAGGAAGGCTCTCGCCGAGCCCTTGGAGCAATAGCCTTTGAAAGCTCTGCGGGCGCCATCCAAAACTGCCTCCAGGTGGCAAAATCTGCTCTGTACAACCCCGGAGGTGGACAAAACCAAACCCCAAGTGCTGCTCCTTGCCTCAGCTGCTCTGATTTTTCCTAAAAAAAAACTCAAAACAAGGACCTGGCCTAGCGCCTTTCCCAAGCAAAGCACCCCCAAACAGCATGCACAAGTGCGAGTCAGGAGCTGTTCAATGGCATGAGCAGGTCGTCGACAGCACCAAAGTCTCTCTCGACCTTGTTCTGAAATCCTCCTTGGGTCACTGCTTGGGGACGCCACGGGCCACCACTGTCTGGGAATCAGACTTCTTGCGCAGCGGCCGTGAGCGGCATTCCACGGTCTTGGTGTTCCCAGAAGGCCGGGGTCCCGCGGCGGACCGAGCGTCTGCCACAGATGTTGCGCTGAACTCGCATGCTTGCTTCCGCACCGCAAGGGCCTTGGCCGACTCCTCCGCTCCGAAAGCTCGGGCCAAGAGGCCGAGACGACCCGCCAGCTCTTGCTTGGCCATGCGAGGCTGCAAGCTCAGCCATGTCTGCAAGGATTGCTCAGGAGATGAGGCCCATTCGAGAGACTTCTCTTCATCCGTGAAAGGTGCCCTCTCTGCAGCGGAACGTGCCCAGATAAAGTCTTCAAGCATGGGTCTGGGGCCCCCGGAAACTGGGGGCTCACATGTGGGGGCCCACAACCTGTCCATAAAGTCTTGCTTGCTAATGCTGCTAATGCCGAAGAGCTGGCATTGCTCTTTGAGGAAGCGTGCTCCTAAAGGAACAAGCAAAAGGCTCGCACGACGGGCAAAAGGCATGCCGACCTTGTCTCGAAGTTGCCCCAATTTGGCAACTGGGATTTTGGGCACACCTTGAGCTGCACAGGCTCGGGAAACGGCCTCGTGGAGCTCTTCCAAGAAGCCACTGACCTCCGCGTGCCGCTCCGACATGTCCTTCGTTCCCACGCTGGGACCTGCTCCCGGGAGCACCAGATCACAGGCAGCCCGGGCGCGGGTGCGAAGCTTTGAAGGTGAGACCTTCTCCTCTTGCAGCAGCCGTCCTCCCAAGAGCAAGGTGAAGAAGGCATCGTCACAGGCATATTGAAGTTGGTCTTCTGTCAGCCGGGCCGCTGCCCAGTTGGAGACGCTTACCTTCTTGTTCTTCTCTATCGGGAGGCCGTACCGATCACAAAGCTTCTTCACTCCGGAGCCGGCAAAACCGCACTCCCCGGCAAGCACGCTTATGTCCACGAAGCCCGCTAGCTCTGGATTCTTCGGAACCTGAATGCCAAAGGACGCTTGCAGCTTGTCCCGATCAGAAGAATCGAGACCAGCAACTACCTTCACAACGGAGCTGTCCACCAGCAGCTGCCGGACAAAGTCGGGGAGATCAATCTCACAAGTTCGCACAAGCCAGACGGAGCCACCGAGCGCAAGCTGAATCAACGCAACGTCGTTGCTGTGCTGTGTGCAACGGTCTGGCTTCCACTCCATGTCCAAGCCAACCAAACGCTCACTGGATTCCAAGGCGGATTGGAACTTCCGCTTCATCTCCTCGAGTTGTTTGGGTCGGCCCGCACTAGCCCTGTCCAAAAGGACACGCTCTCCCTGGTGAAAGGCGACGTTGCTCGACGGCTGCACGGCCTGGGCGTCCATGGCGTCACACGCGACTCGAAGAAAGCTCAAGGGGCGGGATCCCCCCCTTAGCACGGCTGAATGAAATCTCACACTGGGCTTCAGCCACAAAGGAGACGCCGGATGCACAGACGTCAGGGACGGGAACAAAGGTTGCAAGCTCCGACGTCGGCTCGAACCATCCCTGAGCCGGAAACGGAGTCTGCGAGTAGCGCCGATCGTCGCTTCCGAGCTCCAGCATGTCCTGACGGGCTTGGGGGCTCGCTGTGCAAAACAGCCCCGACGTGAAGCCTTCTGCTTCCTACACCAACAGATGCTTGCAGTCTTCGGGTATCGGCCATGGCACCGTGATATGAGAAGTCTCCCCTCCGATTGAAAATCTCGGAGTCGGCTGGATAGGGTTTGGGGTTTAGAGTTATGCACACTTCCGCAGATCTTGTACCCCGAGAACTGGGCTTAGGGCAGCCCTGACCTGGTAAAGAGGATATCGCATCATAGACACTGTGCAACCCCTTCTCAAACGATTCGAGGTTGGGGGCTGGTGAGCTCCCGCATAGTAAGCAGGAAGAAGCACTAAATGAGAAAAGAGTCCTCATCCGATGCCTGCGTGTCAGCATCCTTCAATCTTCGAGGTCAACTCTACTAATGTGCATGTATTATATACATCTATATATATATATACACACACACACACACACATATATATATATATACACACACACACATGTATATATACACATGATAATCCCTGCCAGGATGCCATGCCGGTCCGCTGGGTGCACATGCGG